GGAACAAATCCGAACTGATTCCACTGAATAAATCGCAAATGGCCGTTATGACTGCTTTGCGGTCGAAAAATAGAATCCGGCAGGGACCTTCTACAAATATTAGCAGGTCTTTCACAAATGTGTGTGCTAGTCCTTTACCTACCACTTCCATTCTCCGATTCAGCGAGGCGTAAAACGTCAGAAGCAAGAAGCTCCGCATATTGTTGGCTGATCATTCCACGGGAGTCAAGCGGGCAAATTTCACTTGCTTCGATAGGTTCTAAAAACTGTCATCAAACACGAACTTTCCATAAAAGTCCGGACCGAACCTTCTCTGGTGATGTCTGGGATTGCAATATCCCCATTCAGCGCGGGAGTGATGTCCCATGGCAAACGCGGGACTGAGCAAAATTCCAAAGTAGATCCTTGACAAGAATTAGGGAAGTCGAAAGAATTCTGAAAAAAAAAAGAATTTTCTTGAGCTGAAGAATCCTTGACTATTTCATATCGCGATTCAGCAGAACTGAATGTCTAGCAAACGCCACAGTGGGATCACTACCCTTATGAAAATCGGTCATTAGATGCCGAGGCGAGGCAATGAAATTAAGTCACCGCACGCGACACTGCAGTGATGCATCTTCGCGACGCCTTGAAACATATGTCATGCATGGAATGCGATGTCGCCAAAAAAGCAAGAAGAACCATGGAAAACACTTAGGAAGCTTCTTTCCCAATGAGGTCGACCTTACTACGACGGAGAGAAAACAAGGCGAGCAGAGGGAATAAACGGAGCAGGCCGTATGAGAGGACGCAGACACACAAAGATGCGATCAAGTCACGTTTTTTCGGTCATAGCGGTAAGACAAGACTTTGTTATTAATATTATTTATTCAACCTAGATATAGATTCATGTGGACAACATCCTACAAAACAAAATATACGATAGTTTCGAACAATAACAATTCGTATTGCGACAAAGTTTAGCCTCATTGCCGCTCACATTCTTGTCACAACAGTGTAGTGACTCCTATGCTTGTCTATCCTCTACCTCACTCACAGAGAAGATTGCTTAGAGAAACGAATCGTCCGTTCCATGTCTTTGTCCTTTCTACAGTGCAGATTCTGGTCCCTCCCTTTCTCGGAAGGCCTTTCACTGCTCCCTCCATGTTCACCCACCTCTGCGTGTACCACACAGGGTGAGTCACATGTTCTCGAGACCTGACTAGGACGACCCTCGCCCAAAGACCGATAAAACCCCCAGCTGAAGTCCCACAAGGCTCAGTACCTCCAGGCCCCTACATCCTCTTGCAACCCATCTGAAGCTATGCGTGACCCGAAAACTTGAAGGAAGTGATCGCGATAAATCCCATGGGACGATAGGGAACTGACATCGTGTATTGTGTAGGGATCTACATAATGAGCCCATGGTTGACACTTCAGAGGTAGAAGCGCCGTTACCAATGGCGTGATAAAGCGCCGGAAACACTACCGCGTAGTATCGGACGTGGAAAGGTTAGCAGTGGCAGCGTCTTGATATGATAAGAAGAAGATCCACGAGAACTCTGCTAGGAGGTGCGGTGCCGCAGAATGAAAATGAACGCATCACGGATTACGGTAGCGATGGTAGTCCAATTTTCAACATGGAGTGCACTGGAGTGCTCTCACCCTGAGCAGCTGTATACGCTTATCCTATCGTACGTCCAGCTCAGCTCTTATCTCAAGTCTGTTGGTAGATAAGCGCGTGGAACCCAGCTTCACCTGGGGGCCAGCGCGATCGCTTCTTTCAAAGTAGCCTACTGCTCCTGAACCAGAAATACACCGTAATTCCACCCAAACCCTACTCCAGAGAGCGCGATGCGGCCCCCAACAGAGGAATCGTCCACCTTGTCCTGCCACAGCACATATCTTGACTAAATGCGTGTCTTCTCGCCAAGTAAAAAATCTTCAAAGGATCGTATTGAGAAAGTTCAAAATAGCTTCACTAGAAAACTATTCCTCCGCGCTTTGGGATTCACTTACCACAGTATCCCTCGTAGCATTATAAGAAATAAAATGCTTCGTCTTGAGTCCCTTCAAATCAGGCGGGAGAAAAATGACCTAATAATGGTTTACAAGATTCTCCATGGCATGGTTGACTTGAAAGCTAGTGATTTCTTCGAGTTCAGTATTTCTTCTACTAGGGGCGAAACGCTCAAAATCTTTCTTCCGAGGCCAAACTACTCCGTAAGACGTAACTTCTTCACCTTTCGGGCTGGTTCTGAGTATACCAAAATGACCAAAAAAGTAAGGGTGCCTGGATCTCTAGCTGGATTCAAGAGACAGCTCAACCTCTATCTGTGTCCTGTGTAATATAATTTTCTTATGTTTTGTTTTTGATTTTATTGTCATTTTGTTTTGTTTGTGCTATATTACATGTAAGTCATGTAATAAAGAATGATATTTGTGGTATCTGACCGTGGTTGGGAATTACCGCATGCATCTTTCTTACTTGAACGTTGCCAAAATGATGCAAATCTTCTGCCTCCCCTATCTTTCCATCATTTTGACTCATTTTCCCCATACTTCTTTCCACAGCAAAAAATAAGGATGATCCTATGTCGAAGACACACAAACCTGCCACTTTTGTAGCGAGAACTTCTGAAGACTTCCAACCAGACAATTGTCTGGAAGTCGGTAATGCATACTAACACGACCAGTAAATACAGTCTGCTCATCAAAATCCGTAAAGTATCTGAATGTAGACGATTATAGAAGTTCGTAGGGCACAATCAATGAGACAGTTGTCGCTTCTTACCTAAGATATTATTAACATCCTCAGCGAGCTCTTCCATATTGAAATGAGAGAGACGAATGAGAAGATTTGCGTGAAGGAAATCAGGGCTCACCTGAAACATTTTATTGGGATAGTTTTAAAGGCAATGGGAGGAATACCGAAGCGTGTCCGGCGTCCATCATGTGCCCTCCTACCAAGTGAGTATCCCATTAGCTCAGCCTCCTAGCCATAGCACCCACGGCATTGAGCTCAAAAGAGATGAGGAAGTAGTGGAGGAAGCGGAGCTTCCACGACCACTGAGGAAACTCACTGGTGCTTCCGAAGTCTGAAGAATTACGCTTCAGAAGAAGAGCGCTCAGAGAACGAACGCGGCGACCGAGAGTGTATACAGGACAGCTAGGAACAAAAACCGCAAACGGAACAAACAGAAGAAAGGAATTAGCAGCCTTGCATTTCAAATAACGCGTCACGTCCTTCGCCCTAATGATGAGAGTGTCCGTAAGATCGGTCTAGACTTTAAGGTGCCAGGAAAGCGGCCAAGAACGCCCGAAGCAACGATGGCTTGATACGTTGCATGAGGACTTGAAATTAGTTGGCCTTCATCCCGATCAGGCACATAATCGGGAAAAGTGGCGTCATAATACCAGGAAAGCGGACCCCGCCACAGGGTGGGACAAACGCTGAAGAATAAGAAGAGTAGGCTTTAGAAAACTTTGAAACATTCTAGCAATATATGCAGTAGTCCTCCGAGTATGAAGTAGATGGCATCGAACATGCGAGAACAGAATCGCGTGATCGGACACATAACTACTCCGCGCTCGGACAGGCAAGGCGGTCACGAAGTATGAACGTGGCCTTATAGAGAATGAGCTGTTGTGTGAGTTTGAATAGGTAATGAAGAAATCAAAGAAGAAAAAACCTTCTAACGCGTGCAACAGTAATCAGGCGCTTCTGTCAGTAATATTCGTAGCCTGAGGCTATTCGAAAAACCGTGAGAAGAATTTCCTGAGCATAAAGGAAGTAGTAAAAATATACCTTCTTTCCTCGGAATCGGACCGGTCTCTCTTTACACACTTCGAACATGCTCCGCAACCAATTAAACTTGGCCTGTCGGTCTGTGATACCATCATGTCCCTTGATGAGAAATGCTAGCTCATCCAGCATTTTGCTAAATCATTTACGCCATCATCAATGTGTTTCAGAACGTTTCACGATGCTGTACCCCCAAACCGTGCATAAGTGTGATAGTTAGGGATAGTTATTGTACGCGCACAAATCGGTCTACACTACAACCAAAAAGTGCGCGAAAAAAATGTTTTGAACCGTTCGTGCATCTCCGTCAGTATTTCCAGCACCTGGTTGAAAAAAAAAAAATCTATTGGGGGGGGGTTGGGGTTTGTGGGGCTTTCTACCACTGAAAATGAAACGTGTGGGTATACAGAGGTTCGATAATTATTTATTAAGGCCTAAGTAACAAATTTTACAAACAAGTATAACAAATTATAAAAAACAACGATCCTATGAAATACAAAATAATCATTACGAAATTCAAAATACAAAATCAACAAGTCACAGATAGTA